GCTTGTTGGACGTTGGCGTTGTGAGGTGGCGGTAGCAGATGAGACTTTCGTGTCTCTCGTTTGGCTTGGGGACGGTGATGCGGTCGGTTCTAAGATTGCTGCGCCTGTCTTCACTGTTTTCTTCCACGTAGGTCGGTCCCGGGCGAGGTCTTCCCAGTTTCCCGGGTTGATCTGCAGGCACCTCAGGGAGGTTTTCAGAGTGAAGAAGAAGAGGCAAGCACCGGTGCTCGACTCTTCTTCTTCACTTATGCATACACCTGGAACTCGAAATTTCGCCTTTACTCGGTTTTCAGAGTATCCTTATATCGCCGGACTTGACCTCCTTGTCGGCGTGAACGCGTCGTGACATCTTCATAGAAGAGTCGTTTGGGTAGCCCTTGGTCGCCCGTCCGTACGAGGTAGCCGCTCCAGCGTATGCGTAGTTGTCGCAGCATGCTGTAGAGGCTGATGATTTCCGTTCGCCCCCGTACGTCCGTATCCGCTATCCGGTTCTGCCACCTCAGCTTCAGCATTCAGCGAAGTGGCTGAATCTGAGTGCCTGCTTCATGTACAAAGTACAGGTCTCTGCACCATACAGCAACGTTGGTAGGATGACAGCCTTGTGCGTCCTCATTTTCGTGCTGACTTGATGACCGTGACGATTACAATCTGCGTTTTGAAGACGACCGAAGGCTTCACTGGCCTTCGAAATCCGGCGGGCCACTTCATCGTCGATTTTAGTGCTGCGGGAGAGGGTGCTGCCCAGATACGTGACGTTGTCCACCACTTACGTGTGGGTTCCGTTCACGCTGATTTGCGGCGCATTGTGGGGGATGGCTCTGATGGGTGGCAGTTGGTACGTGACCACCGTCTTCTCCGTATTAATGACCGGACCGAAGTTCTTGCAGGCTGCGGAGAATAGATCCATGCTCCTTTTCATGTCCTCTTCCGAGGGGGTGTTGAGGCGTAGTCGTCGGCGAAGAGAAGTTCATGAACGGTGATTGTGGATACGCGCGATTGGAAGTGCATCCTTCGTTGATTCAGAAGGTGACCGTCCGTCCTGTAGGCGATGCGGATCCCGGTGTGTTCGTCAAGGTAGACGTCCATCAACATGACGGAAGAGGGTAGGCGTGAGGATGCAGCCCTGTTTCACTCTGTTTGTCACTGTAACTGCCTCTGAGACGGCTTCATTTTCTGTGACTCGCGTCATTAGGCCATAGTAGGGTTGACGCGCCATCTAGGTAAATCGCTCGGAACAGTCGACTTTCTGCATGATTTTCCCCAGACTTTGCAATTCTCAGAGTTGAAGACATTCGTCAGATTCACGAAGGTAGAGGAGACGTGGATCCGCGGTTGCTGGCACTTCATTTGCTGCGGTCGTGCGGCGAAGATCATGTTAATAGTGCCTTGATTACGTCGGAAGCCGTGTTGGCCTTCCGGTTGAAGTTCTTGTTCCAGCTGTATTTTGAGAAGCTTGTGGAGGATGGGAACGATTATCTTCTCGGTGATGTTAGGGAGGGATATGCCTATGTGCTTGTCGCAGATTTGGCGATTTACTTTTCGATTATGGACATAAACGATGGCCGCGTGTTTGGACTGAGGAGGGAACTATCCTTGATGCCGTATCTTTTGGAAGAGCGCTCTCACACGATGCATAATTTGGGAGTTAATGTGCTTGCAAAATCTTAGCAGGGATCGCGTCAGATCCGTGTGTCTTCTCGCTGGAGAGTTGCTGTTATGCCCTGATGGTTTCGTGGTGAGAGGGAGGGAAGTCAAGGTCGACGTTGGCCTCTAGTTGCGGCAGACGGGCGATGGCGGCGTCGGAGATGGCGGAAGGACGGTTGAGGACGCCTCTGTAGTGCTCGGCCCATCGCTGTAGAGTTGGCGTCTTCTTATTGAATCGGGTACTTCCGTCGATTCTGAGAAGAGGAGCAGGTCCTTTGGTTGGCGGACCGTAGGCCGTCTTGATCGCGGGGAAGAAATTGTTCCATTTGTTTTGGTCCGCATACCCTTGGATCTCCTCGGCCTTGCAAGCCGTCCAAGCGTCCTGCATCTCGCGCAGCCACAGTTGCAGAAGGCGACGACTACGGTAGAAGGCTGCTTTGTTGTCGTTGGTGGGGTGATTGACATAGGCTTTGGTCAGGTGGTTCTTCTCGGCAAGCTGATTGCTGATGGCAGTGTTGTTGTCATCGAACCAGTCCTGGTGCTGGCAACGTGCGCGACGGAGGACAGCCAAAGCGTTCGACTGAACTGTCCCGCAGTTGGCACCACCGGTTCTCAACGGAAGCTTTATTCTGGGACTGCCTACGACATCGATGTAAGCGTAAGGGGGTGGGGGGGAGGTGGGGAGGTAGCGAGACGGGATGTAGAGCTTTTCCCTCCCTCTGCAAGATAACTGGCTACTGAAATATAAACGGTGAGCAGAGAAATTCAACAGAACGGCATTTAGTTTACAACAAGGACGGAACAAACGCCTACCATCAGGGCCGTCTTCTTCACCCGAGCAATCATTCAGAAAGAGTTACTTTACCTGAAAGAATCGATTTCCCAAGGCCCTGATTCAATCCCGACCTAGCTGCTGAAGGATCTAGCCCCCAAAAAATTCAGACCGTTACTTTTTGCTCTCCCAGACGTCATTTCTACTGGGTTTCTGCCCTACGCTTGGATATCCGCTACGATCACTCCGCTCTTTAAGGGTGGAAGTCGTGCGAATGCGAATAACTACAGGCCAATGAGTCTTACCTACATCTGTCGCAAAATCATGAAGAACATCATTAAGAGCACCTTGATGAAGTTTCTCAGGCAGCATTACCTCCTCTCCGATGCCCAACACGGCCTTCTAAATGATAGGTGCTGTCTCACCAATCTGCTCTTTTCGCTCGAACGCTGGACCAAAGCACGCGACGTAGGCAATGCGCTGCACGCCACCTACATCGACTTCAAAAGGGCCTTCGACAGCGTTCCCCATCAACGTCTCACGCACAAACAACGCAACGCAGGAATTCGTGGACGCCTTATATGTATCCAGAACTGTTTCGACTAGGCAGTCCCATAGAGTGCAGGTCGGGCACCAACAGTTCTCAGAGATACGCGTGGCGAGCGGCGTCCCTCAGGGTTCAGTCTTAGGTCCCGCGGTATTTCTCGTTTTCATAAGTGACTGCGCCAGTGACCTAGATTTTAATGTCGTCCTGTTTGCTGACGACATGAAATTGTGGAATGGTATTCACACTGCGGCAGACGCGGACCACCTGCCAACAAACTTGAACAAGCTCGAGAACTGGTCGAAGCGTTGGCTTATGCCCTTCAATGTAATAAAGTACACCTTTCTTCAACTCGGCAGTTGCAGAGCCTCCAGCCCCAGAAATTAACTTCTTCACGGAAAACCACTTCGACAAGCTGACAGTCAGAAGGACTTGGATGTGTGGATTACATTTTCACTCAAACCAACACTGAAATGCGCGAAGTCGGCTAAGTCGGTCATGGCTATATTAGGTGAGCCTTTATGGGATTTCACGCTGACAGCTTTTCCAAAATATTTGGAACGTTCATGCGGCCTCATCTAGAATACGCCATACAGGCATGAAGACCTTGGACTGTCAAGGACTGTACCGTCTTGTAGAAGGTACAGAGACGGACGACAAAAATGACAAAGGGTCTGGGAGCACTGCCCTATGAACCAGACGGTTAACTCCCAACCTGTTTCCCCTTCTCTACAGGCAACCACGCGATGATCTTATACCAACTTTCTACACTATAAGCGGCCCTGATTGTTGCTTGGATCCCAGTGATTTTTTATTCAAGCTAACACGTCAACTTCGCGTGGTCATCCGCTAAATGTGCGTGCAGTTAGCGCAAGGATCACTGGACGAAAGTTTTTTTCAGTAACAGAGTATTTGCAGCGTGGAACGCCCTGCCTATTGATGTTGTACTCTCTTCCTGTGTGGCTCAATGCGTATCAAACATCTCAATTACCGACAGCTTGACTGTCAATTTCGACGATGTATACCGTGTGCTACACACTAAGGTGAAGTAGGCACGGTGACTTGCGCGTGAATCAGTCTACAGCGACTGTAGACATGCGCAGCGTCTACCGCACTCTCTCTTCCCCATTCCCCACCTGGACCCGGGGTCAAGACGGAGAGTCGAGATGACTGGAGGCGGGGGGACGCAGGTGGATGGCCCGGTCGAGCCCGCACCTAGGCGTGCCACTTCACCCCCTGGTCCACACAGGAAATGATCAGGATTTTTCACCAACAACAGCAGCAACAACAACACCCCAAGAGGGGTCATAAGAACACGGATAATGACTGGGCAGCTATGCCCCACCACCTGTATACACATCGTGAACGCACACGCATTTACAGTCAGGGGACCCACTTATCATAACCCGTCACCAAACTTGTATAAGTTAATACTACTTGCAATGGGTGAGTAACCATTCATGTTTACCTTTTAGACTAGCTAGCAGCGGCCTGCATTACGCATGCAATTATGTACAAGGAATTGCGCATAGTAAAGCAGTCAGGAGTAACTTGCGTAGACGTTCTGGATTTACTAAATCTGAGACCCGGACGAGTCCAAATGTGACACAGTGCGCAGCAGAACTTATGCTGTCAGTCATGGGGGTGACGTAAATGGTAATGTTCTCACAAACTAACGAGTTATATCTCACGGGCCCTTAGCCTTAAAGGCAGCAAGTAAAACCGATCGGTGAACAATATAGAAATTCTGAACGTTAAGTAACCTGACAACAGAGTGCGACAGTTAAGCAGGCCAGCAAAGCGGGTTGTTCAGTTGTGTCGTTTTTCGTCACATTCCAACAAGCAATCCGAGCAGAGAAAACAGGACTAAATTGCCAAAGGTAAATTAGTCCGGTACACTACCACAGGGGAACATTTCTAACCTCCATATTCACCTGACTTCTTCCCCCTTACCCGCCTACACACCCTTCTCCTCTCCCCCTCCTCATCCTCATCCATCTCCTCCCTCATTTTGTTGCCCGAAGATATTTTCAAAATTGTTTTTAGAAGTTCGTGGGACCGTTTTCACGGCTCATATTGAAGTGAGTTCTCATCATGGAGGCAGCCATAGCAGCACTAATTGGTCAGAAAGGAGCAAGAGGATCGTGCACCATGACGGGTGCCTCAGGGTGACGAAAATAGGTAATGCAGATGAGACGAGCAAGGATCAACTGATTGACATTATCAAGACCGCCAGTGAGGCAGTCATTAGAACAGACGTCTTCCAACATGTTATCGAAAAACTGGTCAATGAGGTCAAATACCGGTTTTGTTTTACGCAGGCTTGCGCTAGAAACGTAAAGGCAAGCTGAAGGATCTCAATTTTTCTCGTGCACAAACCCGACTACTGTTTGTGATTGAGTAGGCCCTACCTAATCATAACTTTGCACACGGAGGCGGCCTTCGGCTTCCATCCCACCCTTGCATTCCATTGACGTCGCCCAACCGGCACCACACTCATTGTCTTCAAGTCTGCCGGAAATGCAATTGATATGGTCTGCCCATTGTGCAGTGGATCTCAGGGCAGACATCAAGGTGACAACATGCTCGCAGAATGCGTCTGATGCACACTCAACTGAGAGCATTTATTGATCAGCTAGTTCGGCATGATTCGGAAGGGAGGATATTAGAAATGCATGACAACCTAGTTGTCTTGTTTAGCATGATACGAATAATATATGATAAAATTACACGAATTTTCTAAGTTCAGCGAATATTCCTATGCTACACTTGAAATGCCAATTTGGCAAACAAGTGTTTTCGGCAAATCGTCATCAGGCCAAAACAGTTACATAGAAGTTGAAATTATGCGAAGTTACAGGGTTTATAAGTGATTAAGGGGCTATTAACAATCATCGCTCCCACGCCACTCGCATGGCGAGGCGTGCTATGGCGTGGTCGGCGTGTCGTGGTCATTGAGTCAAGGGGACGAGGGGCAGGGGGACATAGTAATGTCTGTACGTCGGGTACGATGGGCACACCTCACTGCCATCAGGGGGTTGGGGCGACGTACGGTTATCATCTAGAGTCGGCGTTGGCCACGGAAGACAGGGCGCCTTTGTCAGCATCTTCTGACAACATAGCACCGGATTGGCTAGCCCTATAGCCACTGTCTCGGCTGTAGCTATCACCCGTTGGCGTAGGCCTCTGGAGAAGCTTGCTGGTATCCGGACGACTACCTGAAAAGCTTCTTTGGCATCGACGCGGTGATTCGTATCAACAAGATGTGCGAGAATAGAACTCGAAATCGATTTCTTTTCACCTCTGCCTAGCCAGGCCGGTATGCGTTCATGTACTCTCTTTTCCAGGCGCCTCGTTGTACGGCCAATGTATCCCGCTCCACAGGAGCAAGTGAATGAGCAAATACACATCGATGTGGCCTGCAACTGGCGTCGGTCTTTATCTCCCAAGCGTAGAAGGGGAGAGTTCGTGAAACATGCACGTAAGTTCGCTGCGGGGAAAGCGCTAGTGGTCGCTGTATTCGGACGTCTTTTTACTAGCTCACTTGCTGCGTCCCCTTGAATAGGCAGTCCTATAAATAAGTCTTTCTTTTCTGCAGTTGTTAGGGTGGGCTTTACAGTGTGCTCCCCTATATTTCGGAGGATAAATCTTTCTGGGTATCCCGCAGCTGTCGGAGTTCCGCCTCAACAGTTTCAGGAGAGCAGATACATCGCACTCTAGCTGCCTCTCTAGCTACACGAATTTTTACGCTGCTTAGACGGGCCTACGCAACTGCATCACGCACTTTTAATTCGCACCGGCGTCAGCGCCTGCAAGTGTATCACGCGTGTCAGTGTGTCAAGCGCAGTACCCCGCACAGGGCATGCCACCCGGTGAACCCTAGATTTCTTGCATGTCTCAACGCCTTTATTGGCTCTGCCCCGCTCACCAATCGTTGTTGCCATCACACTGTAATTGGTCAGAATCGCTGTCTAACTGCAAGTTGATTCGTTCACTACCCAGCGGCATATTTAAACCGTCTTGGAAATGCGCAGATATGACTGGTTCCCTATAGGGTATCGAAGTCTTAAATAGGCGAGGGCGCTGCCCGCTATAGCGGTGCGGCTGGCTACTCTTACTCGATGGCACTTCAGCAGCCCTTCCTGACCCTCAACAGCGGTCACAAAATACCCCAAGTCGGTTATGGCTGCTTTATGGTTGGTTTACCTCTGATTTGCCTAGCTCTAGTCAATGCCTAATATAGTGGAGAAGCCTATACTTTGGGCGATTGATGCAGGATGTCGACACATTGACTGCGCCCACATCTACAGGAATGAAGTTGAAGTTGGGAGGTCCCTGAAGGCGAAATTTGATGACGGAACTGTAAAACGCGAAGATATGTTCATCACATCAAAGGCATTCTGGATTTACAACCTAACCTCTGATATAGTTGTGGTGCGATTCGCATCGTCTGAAGGATGTGCGTCCAGCCTGTGAAGAGAGCCTGCGAAGACTGGGTCTCGAGTACTTGGATTTGTATCTTGTCCATTTGCCCGTCTCCTTCCAGGTAATTGCAGTTCGCTGACTTTACGTCTGCAGCTAATGAAGGGTAAGCAGTTTTCTCCACTTGATCGAAGTGTACTTGAATTTGAGGATGTGCCGCTGGAAGAGACGTGGAAGGTGAGTTAGTCTAAGGACGGGAAAAATTGGAATTATTTATAGATTCTGCCTATATGCTCCACCTTGTTTTTCATTCAGCTTGATTTCTTAGTAAGACTCGAATGTAACCTAGAAGTAAGATTCCATTCCGAATCACGTCCAGGGGGTGATTGCAGAAGGGTTGTATTGAATGACATTTCACTTAGCCGAATCGACTAATGTTAGTCTAATTCTTGACATTCTATACTGGTCTATGCGTCACATATCAAGTTTTCCCGTGTAATTCTCGTTTGCTCCGATTTCCTTCTTAATCGTCGCCCAATTTTCGTCTCCTGTTCAGGGCATGGAGGAGTTGGTTGAGGCTGGGCTCGTTAGGTCGATCGGGATTTCGAATTTCAACAAGGCCCAAATTGATCGCGTTCTGGCCAGCTGCAAAATACCTCCGGCGATAAATCAAATTGAGGTTTCCGTGAACTGGATGAATCAAAAATTGATCGACTACTGTCACTCGAAAGGCATTCACATCACAGCCTATGCCCCATTCGGTTCTCCAAGTTTTATTAAGTAAGTCATTACGAAGAGTGCTACTTCTATTCCTTTCGCCGGCTAACAGTGTGAGCAGCTCTTACACCGCTGCAAACTTTACTACACTCGTAAACTCAAAGTATTTACTTTGATGGGATATATGATCGGTGGCGTCACATTCGACCCACCATATATTTACCAGTTTGAATAATGGAATGGCGATTCTGTGGGTGGCATAACGCTGCGGACCACTAAAATTCTGGCGTACGTAGGCCACAACGAACGCGAACTCCAACCGTCGCTGAGGGAACAGCGAAGGTTACAATGATGTGAATTTGCGAGAGCGTCTGTGTCACTCGAACTACCATTTGCCAAAATGTAGTCTGTTGAAAATGAGTTCGTGCGCACTGTCTGATCTGACAGAAGATTGTGGTTTATACGTGCCATACACTGCTAGATTCCAGTGCGCACGAATTCGGTTTCGTCGTCTCAAGTCTTCTCTGGGACGTTCCTGACTTGACACGCTGGACAATTTTTTTAATAAGAAGAGAGCAGTATTGCAAATAAACCCCACTCTGTAACTTGGAGGAACTGTAGCGGCACTCAACATGCTCGACAGTACTCTGCGGATCCGCCTCCAGACCTCGATATTCATTTGAGTGTTTGACAAACGCCCTGTCTCCTACATTCGTGGAAGTGGGATTTTTAGGCAAATCTTATCATATGGATCTTTCCTAAAGGTCTCCGTTTGGCAACATGTAAAGAGAAAAGACACCGAAATATGGCGTCTTAAAATTGTCATAAAATTGGTGTCATAAAATTCTCCGCCATTGCAGTGGAATCAACTATGCGGTAGTGGTTAGTAGAGATTTTATGATATCACTTGTCTCACTGAAATATTCGCCTAATTATCTCCATTCAAAATGCATTACTTGCTCTCAGATGTCATTGATGTTAACAATTTCGACTTCTTTTTTTCTCCCTCGCTTCCTCCCCCCCCCTCCCTCCTAAAACGATTTCAGGTCTTCGACTTTGCCTTGACGAAGGAGGAAATGGAAATACTTAATACAAGTGGTCGAAACATTCGTGCCTTCATTGCGGAAATGTAGGTTTATTTTCGTCCACTCGGAGTCTTTAACTCGCTGTTTTTCCAGGGCAATTGGTCATCCGGAGTATCCATTCGACGCGGAATTTTAGCGCTCAGAGCGCTTTCGGAGTTCAGGCTGCCAGCCCTCCTGACAACACTTTCAGGAGATCCCAACTAATGTTTTGCTTCATATACGAATAAAACTATGCTTCTTTCATCATCTGAATAGTCTTTTGCAAATAACATTAAGAATGCATCGGTTTTAGCAACGCGCGCTACGGGAACCCCGTTTTTGCCAGACACCCGCCTGAAGTGTTCAGCCGAGCTTGTGTTGTTTGCACGCCACCGACGCACATCAAGGTCACACCGCTCAATCGCACCACTGGTCCGGCGGAGTGGCCAATCCCAAGGGCTGGACAAATCCGCGGCGCGCGTGTCAGAGCCGTCGACCTTTTAATGCCGATGCACTAAGCAAAATCATTTTTTCGGGGATGCCAGTCCACGCATCGCAAGTATGTTTTGTCGTAGATGCGATACTACAATTTAGTGGTATTTTCAGATGGCTTCTCCGATCACTTTCTATGACGCGATGGATGTGTCCGTTAACCGGCAACGGTACAGTGTTGCCAGCGGGCTCAAGAGTCATCAATAAAAGACAAAACTTTCGGCTCGCCGGGTAGCGCGGATAATGTGAGCAGATAATTTGAGGAAACGAAACAGCGTATCGAGTCGATGGGAGGCACCGTAATGAAATATAATTGAAGAACGGATGACGAAATCCGGCCGTCTGCAACTCGACTGAGTGCGATGAGCGTGGGAATCGATAGGTTTAACCGGAACACAAGCGCATAGCAACTGCACGGCGACTGCATACTTGAATACCTGGCCAGTCGAGCTGTGATGCATTCGGGAGCTGCCAACTGCGGTTGGCATGTAGCGGCCTAGCAACCACATCATATAAACCCTGCAACACCTGGGCAATTTATCACCCTTGTCTGACTCTGTCTCTGATGATGGATTCGAGTGAGAGCCCGAAACGTCAGGCTAATAAAGTTCTTGTTCCAGCTATCGTGTCTCCTTCTTTGCGAAAACTTCCTAAAACTCGCCTCTTCGGGTCTACTAGTTGTCATATTATTGAATAAATTAGGCATCAAAGCATTTTCGGCAAATGGAAGGGTCAATACCAATAGAGAGGGAACAAAACCTTGTGTACACTCTCCTCCAAAGAGCGAGAAACATTTGCTCTATTGATACTCTGGATTCAGAAGTTGTCTGGCACAAAGCAACTTTGTTTACACCTGTCCATCTAAAAGTACAGCAACTCCTTACGGCCAAACTGACGGAATGGTCAGTTCGAAGAGCTCGTTTTAATATCCTTAGCCTTTTTCGGTGACAAAATTTAAAATACCATCAAGCGAAGGTTACACTGTACCACTGAAAGGACATCCAATACAACTGAACTCCTATTCAGCCGTCCTACCAGAGCTATTCCAATTTTTTGTCATTGCACGCCAAATCAGATCATGTTTATGAACCTGCATGCGCTTATGGATGCTCCGTGTCATATGTTTACACTTTGAGCCACGTCTTCGCTGCACCCACATTGGTCTCTCTAGACATCTGGGTTTTCGGGTACACAGCATGCGACCTACTTCATGAAATACGATGACTGAAATGAAGACGATCAGTTTTAAGCACCCGAAATGTCGCGCATTTTTTAAATTGCTTAGCTCGTTCCAGTAAATTGTCGTTTTTGCATGCAAAATATATGTGCAAGTAAATTTATCTGTCAAAATATTTGCAGATTTGTGCCAAGATCTGCGTTACTTGGCAGTCGGCCAGTCGGCTAGGCTGATAACTGTCCTGAACTAATTTTTCGCATTCGTGAGTTTTTTTATGAGAGGAAGAGTAATCTAAACAGTTTCACTAAACAGAATTTATCGCACCTGAAAACCGATTCTCTCTCTCCATGTAAATCAGATGAGGTGAGGTGTAAACATCCGGATATTTAGAAAAAATCAAACATTTTATCGAGCTCAAAAGTCGGACTTGCATATGTTTGTGATTTCGAGCCTCAAGACACAGTACTAACACCAACAGGCAATTCTTGGTGTGAACGTTCCGGCATTTATCTGCGTTTTTGTGAGTTCTCCATAATTTACCGCGAGAAGTCCATCCTCAAGGTGAGAAAGTTAAATTTCACACGTATTTTAAGAAGTTCCGGTATGGTCAAGCGTCCGCTAATGTGTAATTTATAAACGGAACAGGTAAAGCTATAGCAGTGTTAGAAATATATTGGTACTTATATGGCCATTCTATTTTTTTTATTTACAATCGTAGAATAGAGCCTAAAGGTAAAAAAATATAGTAAAATTGACTCCAGTATCAGGTAAATACTTAGCTCATTTGTTTAAAACAGAAAAATTGCAGTTATTCCTTATGGGGGTGAAAAGTGTGTAGACATCAGTCTGCAAAATTCCTAAAAAAAACTTCTTTCAAATAGACAGCTAATTATAAATTTTTTGACTGAACGGGTTTTATGAGCTCAAGATACTTATGTTAAGTCATTTGACTTGTTTATTCGCGTTTTCGGAATTTTTGTTTTTTTAAAAGACACTGTCATCAGAAGCGAAGAGATATTATCATTATTGAAAAACGCAATATACTAGGTGACCTAACTCATAAAAGGTGTCGAAATTTGCGAATGACTGCCAATCACTCGCAGACCGACAGACGTTGATGATTCCAATATCTATGTTAATTAAGCACAAATAAAAAAAGTAAAGATTTAAGAGATATATTAAATGAAGCGTTGTGTTGGTTAGAAATGTCGATTTATTTAGAAAAGCTCAATATCCTGAAAACGTCAGAAATGGCTGTAATTTAGGAAATCTCGTTGTTATATTTAAAAATGATTCTCATACCAAAAAGTCAGCAACCATATAAGCAAAAATAAAATAACGTTTAATAATAGTGTTCCAGTGAAGTTTGCATCTAAATATCGTTTAAGAATTAGTGCGATTTCATATATGGCGGTTTGTCCACAGCCTACATTCTGAGTATGGATTCTAGCACAGTCTCTCAAGGATTCGTGGTATTCTTGGCTGGCTTGAGTTGAATGAGTTGGGGTTCAACAAGAGAAACGGGATTTTGCTTAATTAACCCTATGGGGACTTCGTAGGAACAAAGGTTTTCATAAGGCGACATGCTGTGAGGCCGATCGGTGTCTAATACATATAAACAGAACTGACAGGCGTGATAGTAAACATACCATTTCGTCGTTATGGAGAGAACGATTCGTCCGTTAGAGTAATTTGCACTTTTCGTTCGTTTTGGATTACGCTGAGTTTCAGATCGGCCTCGAAATATTGCTGAACATTTCATGCTTCTCAGTGTTTCACCCGAGCGTCCATATAGACAGATCGGAATGCGTCATCTGCTATAAAGTCTAAAATAAAATAACTTTTGAAGGCATGTACTGAATTGGTAAGTGTTCTTGCGCTCTTTTTCACGAAGATGGTCTCCTGGGTCACATGTGAAGACTCATTCAAGCATCAAACTTCATTTTCGAGAAAAATTGCTGTTTACAACGAAAGTAAGCAACGAATATGCTTTCGATCAATGAGAAAACTTTCCTTATTAAGGTACCTCTTTACGCAATGCCTTACTAATGCTCCCGTTGACGGATCTCTATGTACTTTACGTTTTCGCACGTTGAGAGCAAGAAAACATTTGACACTTCTGACCGTTTGTTTCACATTCCTAAACAATACTACTATTTTTCTACGGCAGACATAATAACAGACTTTTTCTATATATTGCGGTCATTTGCACTGTGTGTGCT